GGCCCTAGTCCCCCCCCCCCCCCCCCACCCCCGCCCGCTCTGGTCCCTACTGCAGATTCCTGCTGAGTCACCGCTCCTCCCACCTGCCGCTGTCACTGGGCCACGTGGCTTCTTTCCCAACACGCAGACCCAGAAGTGTGTGTTATGCAAACGAAGAGCAAGCTGGAGAACACCATCCCCTCCCGCCCACCAAGAAGCACTTCAGGGGCTTTTTATGTAACTCAGAGATTAACCGACACGAGGTGCCTGAGGTGCCTGTGGAGAAGAGCCTCAGGAGAAGCCAGGTGAGAAACCAGTTTGCGGCTGAAGGGACTCCCCAACACGTTCAGTAAGTCTCAGGAGAAGGACAGAGGGTGTGCTACTTGGAACAGATGCGGTTTTTGTTTGTTTGTTTGTTGATACAGGGTTTCTCTGTAGCTTTAGAGCCTGTTTTGGAACTTGCACTGTAGACCAAGCTGGCCTCCATCTCAGAGATCCACCTGCCTCAGCCTTCCAAGTGCTAGGATTAAGGAACAGATGTTCTTAACAATATTACTGCAGCAACCATGGCTACCATACACTGATAGATAATAGGAATAATAATAACATTGGTCCTGTCTGTTGCCATACTCGGTGTCCAGACCTTTCTGCATACTGGATGTCAAGCCACTGCCAGTGTGAGTACCTTGCACAACTCAGAGTCTCAGCAAACTACAGACAATTATAATAAGTGGTATATCTTATGTTTCTTTCTTTTAGCTGTTTATGTGTTCATTCGTTCATTCATTCATTCATTCTTAAAATGGAGTCATTATTTGGATTGGGTTTGCCTTAGTCTTCCTAAGCGCTAGGGTTATAGCAATGTGATGACGGCCATGTTTATTTATCTTCATAAACATTTTCTGGTCTCTGCTATACCTTTGTTCCTCCCTTTCCCTTCTCTCCTTTTCCCCTTCATTCCTCCCTTCCTCCTCCCTTCTCCCCTCCTTTTCCCTGCTCACCTCTTTCCTTTCTTCCTTTTTTCTTTCTACTACTTTTCCTTCCCCTTCCTCCCTTTGCTTTCTTTCCTCTTCTTCCCCCTCCTCATTTTCTCTCCCTCTCCCCTTCCTTCCTTCCTTCCTTCCTTCCTTCCTTCCTTCCTTCCTTCCTTCCTTCCTTCCTTTATTTACTTCCTAACAGGGTCCCATGTAGCCCAAGCTGTCCTAAAAGTTGCTATATAGTCAGGGTCGGTCTCCTGATTCTTATGCCTCAATTTCCCAAGTGTTGGGATTACAGGCATGTGCCACCAAGCCTAGCATAAGCCTTTGCTGTAGTATTGCCTCCAAAAAAACACCTCGAGGTGCTGGAGAGATGGTTCAGCGATTAAGAGCACTGGCTGCTCTTTGTAGGGGTCCAACACCCACATATTACCTCATAACTGTCTATAACTCCATTTCCGGAGAATCCAACACCCTCCAAGAGCACCAGGCATGCAGAGTGTGTGTGTGTGTGTGTGTGTATGTGCATGTGTATCCATGTATGTGTATACACATGAACAATTTTTTACATGGGTTGTGGGGATAGAAAAGAAGGATTGCCTTAAGTTCAAGGCCTGTGATGAATTTTATTCCAGCCAGAGTTGCATAGCAAGACGCTGTCTCAAAACAAAACAAATATTTTATACTCCTAAACATACGTTTATCTTAAAGTAAAAAAAAAATTCGTGAAATTCGCAAGGCTGGAGATGAGGCTTAGTGGTAGGCACACTTACTTACACACAGGCAAACATTCATATACTTAAATTTTTTTAAAATGAAATATTTATTGAGCACATATTGTATGGCCAGCACACTTAGGCCACAGAGTGCTTTTTTACATACATACATATTTCTAATCTAGTTTAACTACTATCTTACTGAGTGATGGTGAGTGTCTATGTTTTCTGAGGCTGACTGTATTTATGTGTAATTTGTGTGCTATGGGATTGCTAACAGGATTAGAAATACATACAATGGGTCCAGCATGCTTTTACATATCAAGAAGCACTTGATTTTAGTATCACGTGATGTGGACTTTGTACAACTCGTGGTTTAAAAGAATCCCAGAGACAGAGAAAGAATTCCCTTTCCAAGGTCATGGAGGGAGTGGAGACCAGACTGAGTCCCAGCTCACGGGTAGCAATGACCAAAGCAGAGTGTCACACTGGCCGGTATGATTCGACTTCTCGAGGCCAGGTTTGCTCTGAGAACTTGAATAGTTATGTTCCCTATCTTGGACAGATGAGGCATTTCTCTGCCAAGAAAGATGTTTAAACTTTGGGGAATCAGACTCAAGGACAAACTCCTGCCTCTCAGTGTCTTCAGAGACTTGGCACAGCAGGGCTAAGAGTACAGCTCTGTCCGTCTGAGTCCATGATTCCTCAGATGAGAAGCAAAAAATGTGAGGCCACGCGGCCTTGTGTTCAAAAGCCTCCCTCAAAAGACGTGTGTCTCTGTCTGTTACCATCTAGAGAGAACATTTTTGGGAATTTCCTACCATCAGTTTGAGAGAATAAAACCCTCACTTTCCCATCCCACCCTTTCTAAACTCCCTGCATCCTGTACTGTGAGGCCTTTAAGGTCGAGGCATGATTTGATTTTTGGTCTCAGTGAAGAAACTAGAATCAAGGCAGATCTGAGGGAAAACAGTTAACTTTCTGACCCCCTTGTCCTCACTCGAAGGAATTTTTGTGTGCGTGTTTATTTTCTTAGTGTCTCTTGGTTATGCTTCTCGTTTTGGTTTCATAAGTGAAATATTCCATCTGTGTATTTATTTCCCAGACCTAGTCCCCATAATTGTAAGTAAGAATGTCTTCCAAACTTGGTTCTCGTGTAACCCCACAGAGACAGACATTTTGTCTGGTGAGATGGCTCAGTGGGAAACACGCCTCCTGAACAAGCCTGATGACCTGAGTGTGAAGAGAACCAATGGTGGAAAGAGAGAACCAGCTTCCAAAATGTGTCCTCTGGTGTGTAGCTTGCGCACATACGTGTACACACACACACACAATAATAATAGGAGTAGTCATGAATAATAAACAAAAATTTTAAAATAGTACCTTTTGCAAGGCGCAAGTCTCGTGGCTATTTTCTTTCAAGATAAGGTCTCACTCTGTTGGGTCAGGATTGAGTAGGAACTCACCGTGTGATGCAGGATGCTGTGGAGCTCATGGTCATTCTCCTGCTTCTGCCTCCCAGGTACTGTTACTACAGATGCAAGCCATCACGTTCCATTCAAGTCTTTTCATAGTTCAGCTGCTCTGAAGTCTTTCCTTCCTTACCCGTTTGCCCCTCTACATAGTCCGACTGGACAAGCAAACCTGCAGCAGTTCCTCCAGGCTGCCCTAAGCAGGCTTCTGCCTTTGGTTAACTCAACTAGGAAATTCCAGCGCCCAGAAACCAAGTTTACCTTTTGTGCTTCTCCCAAGTGCGCCTTGACAGGACTCTTGCCCATGGACCAAATACATTAAAAGTGGGAAGCTCCACTAGGTTATTGCACAAATAGGGCAGAATAGAGAAGAAAGAAACCGTGTTCAAAATTATCTAGAAGACAGGTGTGGTGGTATAATCCCAAGCACCCAGGAGATGAAGACAGGAGGATCAGGAATTCAGCACTAGCTGAGGCTGCGAAACCCTATCCCAAACAAACAAACAAACAAAAAAATTAAGGAGACATTTTTTTTCCCCAAGACAATGTTTTTCTGCAATTTTGGAGCCTGTCCTGGAACTTGCTCTGTAGACCAGGGTGGCCTCGAACTCACAGAGATCTGCCTGCCTCTGTGTCCCGAGTGCTGGGATTGAAGGCGTGCACTACCACCACCCAGCTAAGAAAACAGTTTTTAAAACCATGCTAGGACAGCAGGTGTAGACAAGAAGTTTCCTAGCAGCTTGTAACCCAGAAGTTGGCTCTGAAGACATGGAGGCATACAGCTTTTAGAGCAAACATTTGGGGCTGTGTTTCTTTGGGTTTCTTGACTAAGCAGCAACATGAATTTATACTCTGAGCTTACTTTCCTAAACTCAGGGGAACTGCTTATTGGGGAGTGTGGGTCTTGGAGAGTGGGATTTAGCTCCAATCTCAGAAATCTCTCTGCAAACCAGGATGAGGGTACCAGACAACGGGGCAGGAATCCTCACTGGGGACGGGAATCCGGCAGTCTCACTGATTGGAGAGGGTGAGCCAAGCCCATGTCCTGCCTTGCTGATGCATGATTGGGCTGAAGAAAGAACTCATTGACTTGTGTAAGGAAGAGAGCAGTGTCCAAAAGGCCAGGCTGGAGAAAGAGGCTGCCTAGAGCTCAGTGCCTGGCAGGACACCAGGTCCGAGGACTCCATCAAAGCCTCTCTGAGCATGGGTTTGTGTCACAAAACCTGGGGATCACAGAGACACATGACAGATGGGAACCTACAGTTCGTCTGTTTGTTTGTTCTAGACATGTCGGAGGCTGTGAGAGCTGCAGTCCAGCTCTCCTGTGAGGGAAACCCAGACCTGTGTGAGCGGAGAATGCACACTCCCATCACACTGGGCTCCCTAGAATCTTACTTCCTGCCCAGCCAGGAGCCAGAGACGTCAGCGGCTAGGATCTAGTCTAACCCTGAATCTGTGGCCTCACAGCTGGGCACAGATCATAAAATAGAATGGATGGGTTTGACTGAGTCATACAACTCTTGAATGTCAGTTCTGGGAGCTGGGGGCACAGCTCAGTTTGTAGAGTGTTGCCTAGAATACCTGAAGACTAGGTTTGAGCCCTGGCACCACATAAAAGCGGGTATAAAGCACACCTGCCATCCTAGTACTGGGAGTACTGGGAACTGTGTTTACATAGTGAGTTCTAAGCCAGCCTAGGACACATAAGCCCTTATTTGAAAGGACTAAGAAAGTGCCAGCATTGGACAGCTGTCTAACAGGACTGTGCTGCTTGGGCCACCACTCTGTGTCATGGGTTGTGAAATGGGGATGTGTGGAGCACGTCCTCCCTGGAGTATTGTGATACTCCAAGGAGGATAATCCGTTTATGGTGAGGGCACACTGCCTGCATGCTAAACATTGCTAGCAGTTAGGACATTAGTGCAATTAGTCACGGCTTCTCTGCAGCCTGGATGCTCTCCCTCGGTCCTCTTTTCTGCTTGAACGTCACAAGACTTTCAGTCTCTGGGTAAAGGCATATTGTCTTTTTGGTGTGTGTGTAGAAGGCAGAAATGAAAGATTAGAATCCCTAGAGTGGAGAGGGCAAGCCAGGATTTAAGTGGGGATTTTCTCCTTACCTAGCCAGCGGTCCAGGAATCATTCAAGGACTGGCGTTTAAGACTGATCTCTTGAAAGAGTCTATTTAGGGAAGTCCCTCTATGCAGTATAAACAACGTGAACTTTCCTTGTTTTTTTTTTTTTTTTTTGTTTTGTTTTGTTTTGTTTTTGGTTTGTCAAGACAGGGTTTTTCTGTGTAGAGCTGGCTATCTATCTGTCTATAGACCAGGCTGGCCTATAAATTCATAGAGATCTGTTGCCTTTGCCTCCTGAGTGCTGAGATTAAAGACCTGTTTTTGTGTGTGTGTGTGTGGTTTTGTTGTTGTTTGTCTTCTTTCTTTCTTTCTTTTTTGAGGCTTCTATTTACAGCAGAAAAAAATCCAAAATAATCAAAAAGTGAAGTAAAATCGTTTTATGGCCTGGAAAAAAACATCTTGAAAGAAAGAAAGATTTTCTTATTTATTTATTTATTTATTCATTTATTTTGAGACAGGGTCTCTCTCTCTCTCTATGTAGTCCTGGATATCCCGGAATGCACTATGTAGACCAGGCTAGTCTCAGACTCACTGAGATCCTCCTGTCTCTTTCTTCCCATTTTTGGGATCAACCCCTTCCTTCCTTCCTTCCTTCCTTCCTTCCTTCCTTCCTTCCTTCCTTCCTTCCGTCTTTCTTTCTGTCTGTCTGTCTGTCTGTCTGTCTGTCTGTCTTTCTTTCTTTCTTTCTTTCTTTCTTTCTTTCTTTCTTTCTCCTTGTCTGTGTTTCTCTTTTACTTGGAGACAGACAGGGTTTTACTATACAGCTCAGGTAGGCTTCAAACTCCCTTTCCTCTTCTGGAAGTGCTGGATTACAGCTGTGGGAGCCATTCATGGAGGAATTTCCCTTCCTCCGCAGCATTAGATCTGTGTGTGTGCACTATGTGTGTAAATGAGTGTGAATGTGCAGTGTGTGTGTGTGTGCGTTGTGTGTGTCTGGGAGTGGGCTGTCTCACACTTCGCTTCAGAAACCCAACTTCTCCCACAAGTCCAAAGCTAAGGGTAGGTAGCCCAAGGGAAGTCTCAGGGAACTCCAGCTCCTAATGCTGACACTTCTGGCCAGGGGAGTCTCAACCTCCAGGTGGGAAATCCTGCAGGTGCAGCCCAACCCTTCTCAGGGAGAAGTTCCTACTCCTAGGGAGGGTGCATGGCTGATTTCTAGTCTGGGACTTGTGGACAAGGTGACCCCTCAGCTCCTTTAGATTCTTTTCTTAGTCCTCCTGGTCTAGCATGGAATGGTATACGGTCACCGGGAACTATGGGCTCACAGGAGCCTTATCAACCTATTCATATTTGCTCTGTTTTGATTGCTCCAGTCTTGAATCCAGCACTTCGAGGTCACTGGGATCATCACAGGGGGCTGCTCAGAGAGGGCTGGATCCAGTGGCTGCTTCTCCTCACGGCATCAAAGGCCTGCAGAGAGTCAACAACCATAGTGCCGCACTGAACTGCAGTGGTGTTCCCTGCCTTGGTACTGACTGGCTCAGCAGGCCTGAGGGTTAACCACATGAAAACATCAGCGGCCCACAAGTGGCTCCAGGCTTCTCTCCATGTTCTTGTGCAGCCAGCCCTGCTCAGAAGCTTGACCTGGTGGAGGACTTCCTCTGCAGGACTGAAGTTGGGGTGTTCTGAACCCTCTACTGTACTTGTGCTGGAGCTGATGGGCTTTCCTAGGAGCTGGAGCATGAGCAGGGAGAGACAGAATGGGGCTGAGCAGATGGCTCAGCTGGCAGAGGCCTTGCCTGGGAAGCATGAGGTCCTGGGTTCTGATCCCCAGCACCCAAGTAAACAGCGTAAAGTGCATTTGTCAGTCCAGTCCTGGGGTGCACAGAGACTAAAGATCCCTGAGGCTTGCTGGTAAGTCAGCCTAGCCAAACTGGTGAGCTCCAGAGTCAGTGCAAGACCCTGTCTCAGAAAATAAGGTGAGCCTTAGCCCTGCCCCTTGCTGCCTGCGGCAGAAAAGGAGCTGACTCTCCCACTTATCTGATGCAGCACCCGGAAAAGGCCTTGCTCCTCACCTGGGCAGCACAGTAGAACTGACCCTATTAACAGGGGTGCTGGTGAACGGGCCCCCAGAAAGTGAATGCAGGAGGGAGGTCTGGCCCCACCCTTCATCTGACCTCTGACCTATGGTGGTCTGGATGGGAGAATGATCTCATCTTGTCACCTGTGGCAGGTGGGAGAGCTGGCCCTGCCCCTCACCTGCAGCTCTCTGGAGGGTGGCCCTTACACCTTGCCTGGTCAACACAGTAGACCCAGCTTTGACTGTGCAGGTGTGGTGGAGCTGACCCTGAGGGCAAGAAAACTGACCCCACCCCTTACTAATCTTTGCAAGAGGTGAATTAGCCAGGGCAATGCTGGAGAATTCACCCTGGTGGTGAGAACAAGGAAGAGCTGGCGGACTGTGACTAACTCTGCAACTACCCAGGTCCAGGACCAGGGCTATAAATTGGTCTATCCCAACATCCACCCCATCTGTGATCTGCTCGAGCATCTTTTTTTGGGGGTGAGGTTGCAAGGGCAGAGGCTTGTTATGAAGGGGCAGAAGAATGAATGGGACAGAGATGCATGTGAAAGACATGAAGAATAAACAAAGTTTAAAAAGAAAGAAAATAAGGAGAAAAAGAGAAAAAAAGGCAGGGAGCGATGGAGGAAGTGCATGGCAGTCAACCTCTGGCCTCACAGGAAGACACACAAACACACAAGCACACACAACACACACACACACAAATGATTAAAAGGGGGTGGGGACCAACACTAAAGAAACTATTGAGATTTTTCAGCAAGGAAGTTGTTCTGGGTGAATTTAGAGGCCAAGTTTGTTCAGGGATTAGGGAGCAGGTAAGATGTCTGTGTGTTCATGATTACAACCCTTAGTGAGGTCAAAGGGCTGTCATATAGAGCCATGTGCTCACCTGCTGTTCTTCGTGTGGGAGGTGGAGGCAGGAAGATGAGGAATTCAAGGACATAACTCTTCTGCTTTCTGACAGTTGAGGCTAGCCTGGGCTACATATAGAAAGCCTAGTCTCACACACACAAAAAAATGGAGCTGCAGAGATGGGTTGGTGGTTAAGAAAACTTGCTCTTGTGGAGGACCCCGGTTCAGTCCCTACCCTGGGCAGCTCACAGCTGATGCCTGTTTCAGGCATATCCCACACCCTCTTTGCCTTCCATGAATCCTTGTACACATCCAAATCACGGAAACTCACGTGGGCACATACACACATAAATTTAAATGTTAAGGGGCATCGGCTGAAGGCAGAGCTCACAGTGTTGGCATCAGGGGTGAACACAGGCCTTGAGTTCAATTCCCAGTGCCCAAACAAAGATACGTCAAAGAGATTTGTGTTGTTTTCTCCTCTCCGTGTCCCGAACCCCCATGCAACAGAAAGCTCTAGAAGGGATTAGACAGCCGAAACTCAGGATTTAGTCACATGACACCAGTGGTCAGGAAACCATTAGGCCAGAACTCAGCACTAGGTGGAGGGGGTTCTTTAGAGAATTCTTGGCCAATTGCCCCAGAGAACTCCAGGGAGAAAAATCTGTTTCGCTGGCAGAGCGGCCTGAACCAAACCCTTGCTTTCAGCTGGGGAAGCCCGGACTGGATTCTGAGATAAGCGTGAGCCAAGTTGACCCTTCTCTGGCCTCCACTTGATATTAACTCAGCTAGACACAAGGGGAAGAGGCGAGCCTCAGAGAGATAAGGCCTATTTTCCTTCTAGTCAGAAGGCCCCCCGTTTTCTCTTTGTTTTGCTTCTTCCAGGGATCTGGGTAGAGCCCATTCCAACCCTGGAAAAGGTCATCAAATGCCCCAGCTCTTGTTGTAGTAACTGTTTCTGTGAACCTGCCCAGGGTTAAGAGGTGGGTGGCACATTGCTGGGTGGTTTGTGTTTTGTTTTGCAGACATGGGAATAATAAACAGTTTGGAGTTTGGTTTCCCTGGAGCCCAGAACAGATTCTAGCACCATCCCTCATCAGCCCCGGCCAGTGTAGGTCATCAGAACCCGAGGACCCGGACTGCCTCCTTTCCCTCAGAGTTCATCATCAAGCTTCTGGAACTCTCCGTGCACTCTAGCCCTCATCCCCTAGCTCAGATTACTTCGCACACACACGAAAATCATAATAATAATAGTTACCCTGCTACAGGGTCCCTTACAGTCTGCACAGCTGAATTAGTTTGTAGCTGCCAGTTTGTAGCTGTAATTTTAGATCTACCTAAGCTCCACTCAGATTTCAGCGTGTTGGTAATTATCCCCCTCCTAAACCTGGGGAGTCGATAGAGGGGGCACAGGAAGGGTGCAGAGCAGCAGCTGCAAGGCCTGGGCCTGCGCTTCCCTGCTGCTAATAATAGCTCAGGCTGAGTTAGCACACTTCTGCCAGGTCGGCTTTAGACTCCTCCAAACAGTGCTGGCAAATGCAGGCAATCCCCATTTGGATGAGGAGGAGAGCAAGGCAAGGAAGAATTTGCCTAAACTCACAGCCCGCAGGACTGAGAACAGATTTGACCTCCGGCAGATTCTCCAGTCCTGCCCTTTTATCCGATGCACCGTGCCGCTGCAGCAAGCTCATGGGCTTACTAAAAGTGGGTGCCAGGAAATGCCAGCGAGACAGGAAGGAAGCCATTGCCAAGATGCCAAACCAAAAGGCGTTTGAAACCTGAGAATTAGCAGCTCACTGCCCTGAAACCCAAGGACCTGATGGGGGTATCTGTGGGACACTGAATAGAGTTACAAGCCGTGGACTCCGTAAGTCGAGCTAGAAACAGAAAAGTATTCAAGGCCACTGCCCACCAGCAACTGAGTCTGGAACTCACAGAGGTGTGTCAAGCCACGGCTGACAAATTGAGAATTTATTTTAATGTAATCTCTGGGCCAAAGGCTAGTGGGCAAAGATAATGGTGCTGAAGATGCTTCAGTCACAAGCAAACACAGCCTGGCATTTTGCAGAAACGGTTTGAGTGGTATGAATGTCCCTCCCACCCCTAGCTCCAGAACTAACCCTGGAGGAGCTTTCCTTACCCTCCCTCTCTCCAGCTTCCTGAGCTGCTGGCTGCAGGTGGCGTGGTGTGATAGGAGGTCAGTCCTTGCAGCCAAGCGCGACACTGGGGTACAGCACGGAGTTATCATCTCCTTCACCAGACAGACAAGCCGGGCTTGGTAGATCTGGGGTCACCCTGTCCATCTGTCCCTCTCTGATAGCTACGATTCCTCTTCTACTCGTATGTGTTTCACCTTTGTGTGTGTGGTGCATTGTGGTGTGTGTGTGTGTGTGGTGCATTGTGGTGTGTGTGTGTGGGGTGCATTGTGGTGTATGTGTGTGTGTTGTGTTGTATGTGTATGTGGTGTGTGTTTCTGTGTGTATATGATGTGTACATGTGTGTGTGGTATGGTGTGTTATATGTGTGTATATGTGTGTGTTGTGTATGTGTATGGTGTGTGTGTCTGTGTATATGATGTGTACATGTGTGTGTGGTATGGTGTGTTATGTGTGTGTCTGTGTGTGTGTGATGTGTATGTGCGTGGTGTATGTGTCTATGTGTGTGGTGTGTACATGTGTGTGTGTGGTATGGTGTGTTATATATGTGTGTGTATGTGTGTGGTGTGGTATACATGTGTGTGTATGTGTGTGTATGTATGTGTGTGCGCTTTGCTGGATCCAGGGTCATACACATGGTAGATAAGCACACTTGTATCACTGAGCTACCATCCTGTCACACATTTTGAGAAGTGCTCACTATGCACAACCAAGCATTGCTCTATGCCCTGCACAGGCATTAACTTTTTGTCCTTTTGAACAGCACGGAGCAGGTAATAATGCCATCTCTTTTTATCACAGATGATAAAGTTGGGGTTGAAAGACATGGACTAAGACGGCCATGTCTCATGTGTCGGTTCATAGTGGTCTGGGTTGCCTAATTCCAGGGCCCATGCTCTCAGCTGCTCTGCCACAGGGTTCTGACCCAAGAGAGCGGTGCACTGGTCCGGCTCTCCCCATGTGTGTTAGCCTTGCCCATAGCTGGCGACTGCTGTTAATCCTGGCTCCTGACTGCAACATCAAACTTATACCAGGCTTCCAGGTAAGCGCGATGCTCTTTTAGTAGTGCAGAGTCTCATACAGCTGCTGATGGCTGCTGTCCTCCTTAGAGCCCTTCTCATGGCTCACCTTCCTCTGCGGACCTCAGTACTGTGACTGTTTCTGATGTTATCAGATATGAATGTTGGCTGCTTTTGGTGGCATCATCACCTATTCGTAGAACATGTAGTCAGCTAGCTGGGGAAGACAGAGAAGAACAACATCAGAGGGGCAGCCGCACTTGGGGTCAGTCATTGGGCCATGACAGTTCCAGGGATTGAGAACATTCGAAGAGATCAAAGAAATGGAGGGTAACTAAGCTAGTGCTTAGGACGCCCTCCCTACCCACGTGCCATTTCTGGAACTATCTCAGCCACTCTCCCCTCAACCCGGATGCAGATTATCACCCTTTGGCAGGTGAAAAAGCAAAGGAGGTACAGAGAGTTGATGCAATTCCCCAAGACCCCTGAAGTCATAAATAATGGGGATTCCAGGCTCTACCATAGCCGGCTTCAAAGAGAGTTCACATACAGCACATACATGTACGAGCTCACATAAGAACTCTTGAAGCTGCCCCCTTCCCCATGGAGCAGGCTTGGGCGCACGCATGGCTTCTTGCACCTGCTCGTCTCACCACCAGCTCCATTTTCAGCCCCAGAAGAAGAAGGCCCCAGAAACAGAGTGAAAAGAAAACCTGGTCTGAAACAAGTTTGCATGAATCTGAAATTAGAAACAAGGTCAGGTGGGGGGGGGCATTCACGAGACTAAATTCAGAGGCCAACGCCTCTAACTGATCTCGGGGAGGAAAAGCCAAAATATGCTTTGTCGGTCAACATGGTGCAGGCGGGGCGGGAGGGGCAACGAGGGGTCTTTCCCGCCGCCTCTCCAGTTCTTCATCAAGGGGCTCTGTTCAGCCTCCTCCCACACCTGCCCTTTCTGGGCACCCACTCTGGCACCTGCTGCTAGTGGTTGCTTGTGGGTAGTGCTAACCTGCTGACGGGAAGGAAGTGTCTCCCAGCTGGCAACACTGGTTTCATTTGAGATTTCCAAGACTGGGCATCTCTCTCTGATGACTTTAAAAATATAGATAGATAGAATTTTTAAAGGTCTCTGTGTGAGTGCCCTGAGGCCATCTGGAACGTGTGTGCGTGCGTGCTTGTGTGTGTGTGTGTGTGTGTGTGTGTGTGCACGTGCCCTGAGGCCATCTGGAGTTACTGGCAGTTTTGAGCTGCCTAATGTTGAGTGCTGAGAACTGAACTCAGGTCCACTGGAGGACCAAGCAATTGTTCTTAACTGTTGGGCCATCTCTCCGGGCCCCATTTAAATTATAATTTTGTTATGTGTTCCAGGTTGGCCTGCAACTTGCTAGGCATCGCAGCTGGCCTCAAATTCCTCATCTTCCTACTCCATCCTCCCAAGTGATAGGATTGCAAGCACGCTGGTCAATATCTGGCTCTGATGGCCATACATTATATTACTACTCTTTGGATGTATTTTCTTTTTCCTTAGAAAATTATGCAAAAATGCGTACAAATCATACATCTAATAGATTAATAACAGAAATATATGAGTCAGTGAGATGGCTCACTCAGTAAAGGTACTTACCACCAAGCCTGACATTTTGAATTTGATTCTAGAATTC